GGGAGAAGAGGAGAGAGTGAAACAGAAGCTGAGAGTGTCGGGTGTAGATAAAAAGAGGGAAACGGAAACGGAGAAAGATATATTATGAGAAAGAAAGATGATGTATGGGAAGAGAAAGGGGGAGGAGACAAGCGGATAGAAACAAGTAGGGAGGAAGAGAAAAGATGGAAATAGAGAGAGAGACAGAGAGAGAGAGAGAGAGAGAGAGAGAGTGGAGTGAAAAGAAAGTGGTTGAAATAGAAGCGAACAGAAATTGGTACAGAAGAAGTGGAAGGAGATAGGGTGAGTGAAGATAGAGAGAAATAACTAGAGAGAGGCGGGTGGGGAGCAATCAAAGAGATGGAAGGGGAGATAGAGAGAGAGAGATAGAGAGAGAGAGAGAGAGATAGAGTGGAGGGAAGCGAAAGATAATGAGAGAGATGTTGAGCGAGATACGTGAAGAGAGATGAGATGGAGGAAAAGGTAGTGGGGTGATGAGAAGCTGAGAGAGACGGGCAGAGTAGAGGATGAGTTGAATGAGAGAGCGTGCGGTAGAGACTAGTGGAGGAGAAGAGAAAAGATGATAGGTGAGAGGGTGTGGTGAAAAGAAAGAGAGTGGGACAAGTGGAGAGGAGTGGAGAGTAAGAGAGGAGGCCAAACTAGAACGAGTGTTGTGTAAAGAGAGAGAAAGAGAGAGAGAGACAGACAGACAGACAGTGTGAAAAAAGCGAAGATACAATTGATGGCGAAGAAAGAGGAAGGAGAGAGGGTGTGGGGAAAAGTAAGGGAGTAAGACAAATGGGGAGAACTATTGGAGAGTAAGAGAGAAGGACAAACGAGAGTGAGAGAGAATGAGGTAGATAGAGAGACAAAAGTATAGAGATAATTATTGAAGAGGAAAACAAAAGATAGAGGTTGATGGGATGTGATATAGAGGAAATCATTGAGACAAGGGAGGAGAACCTTTGAAAAACAAAACAGAAGAGTGGGGTGGGGAGGTAAATAAAGAGAGAGAGAGAGAGAGAAAGAAATGAACAGACAATTGGTGGAGTGGAAGAGAGAAAATGAAAGGAGAGAAGGTGTGGTGAAGAGAAAGACAGTGAACGGTTAGAACAATTAAAGAGCAAGAGAGAAGGACAAACGAGAGATTGAGGTCGTGAGGGAGAGAGACAGTGACAAAAGCGGAGAGAGAATTGGTGAAGAGGAAGAGAGAAATAGAGAGAGGATAATGTGACGAAGAGAAAGGCAAACGAAAGACAGTAGAGTAGAGAGAGAGAGAGAGAGAGAGAGAGAGAGAAAAGTGGGGGAGAGAATTGAAGGAGAGAAAGAGTGAAGGTGGAAGGTGAGACGGGGTAGTGAAGGGAGAGATAATTAGACAAGCAAAGAGAACGATTGGAGACCAAGAGAACATGTTAAACGAGAGAGAGAGAGAGAGAGAGAGAGAGAGAGAGGAATATATATAGAGAGAGACAAAAGTGGAGAGAGAATTGGTGGAGAGGAAGAGACGGTGGAAGGAGAGAGAGAGTGTGTGTAGTGAAGAGAGAGACAAGCAAGGATAACGATTGGAGAGCAATAGAGGAGGACAAACGAGAGAGAGAGAGAGAGAGAGAGAGAGGATAGATAGAGTGGGATAGAGAGTGCGATATATAAATAGAAAAGTGGAGAGAGAATTGGTGGAGAGGAAGAGAAAAGGTGGGAGGAGAGAGAAACATAAAAAACGATGAGGAATGAAGAAAAAAACGAAAGATTATTAATAGATATTTGCTGTTTCTTTCAAGACAGATGAACGCAAAAAAGTGAGGAGAAGATGAATTATATTTCAGATTAAAGTCTTTATTTCTGTGGGCATTAATTATCTGCAAGAACTTGTCTTTTCTATTTAATCGAGTATATATGTAAGTTCAAACACACAACATACAAACGCGGGCGCACGCACATAACACAAACACGCATATGGCTTATTATTTATTATTGTTTATTATTTACGGCCTTATCATGTTGAAACGTCGATTCTCGTACGATCATCGTCTAACCTGGTCAGTACATAGATGGGTAACCGCTTGAAAATACCATGTGTTGTAAACTTGGATATGTGGGTAACGGCACGGAATTGGAAATCAAAAGGCCAAATTTAAATCGGAATCGTTATCCTCATTTATATTTAGTTTATTTTGCTTTAGGGCTTATCAACATCAATGGGTAATTTAATGCCGACGAGATTTTAACAAAAGATTCGTATGAATAGAATATGTATTCTTTGTAAGTTTGCAGATCAAGTTTCCTTGACGTGTGTGTGTGTGTGTGTGTGTGTGTGTGTGTGTGTGTGTGTGTGTGAATTTGTAGATCAGATTTCCTTTTTAAAGAGGTTTTTGTTGAGAGTCAAATGTATTGCTGGTAATATTTTTTTCTTCAAAAATGTATTACTGGTATTTTTACTATAAAAAATTATTTTGTAGGTAACTGTTTGCCCTAGAATATTTGCCATAGCTAGGACCCTAACAGGTGCTACCACCCCGGGTCAGGGGGAACCTGGGAACAACAGCAATCAAGAGGTGGTTCCACGCTCATTAAAGTTTCCCTATCAGAGGCCGTGGTGCTGGATGTAGATTATCGTCATACTCAGGACGTATACTCATTTATTCCCTTGCGAATGACATGAATCCACCTCCTTCCCCCAGCTATGGGTTAATTATTAGGACTTCTATCAGTAACTACCTGAAAGTATTTTCTGTCTTTAAATAACCTGCAAGTTGATAAGCATTGAAAAAAAAATTACGCACAAATTGTTAAATGGGAAAACATTTTTATTGTTGTCGACACAAAATGTATAAAATGATAGCTGAAAAGAAAAATATAAAATGAGCATTGTGTTCTTTACTTAAGGCCAAATCATTGTACGGCTTAACCAAAGTCACAATTATATATATATATATATATATATATATGTGTGTGTGTGTGTGTGTGTGTGTGTGTGTGTAAATGTATATATATATATATATATATATATGCAATTTTAATATAGAGCTAATATATTTGGTTGGATTGATGTGAGTTTGTGATCCTGGGTTTCACGCTATTTGCGATCGTCAGACAAACTGATTAATTTTTAAATTTTGGATATATACATGGTTGCGTATATCGGTGTTTTTATGGCAGTGGGGGGGTAATCACCGTCGGAATGTCACTCATACGAACGTAGGCATATGTACACGCAGGTTCACGCATTGTCGCTCATACAAACATACACATATATGAACAGTGTTGGTCTGGGCGTATATGCACATCCATGTGTCATTGCGTATATACTTACGCAATTAGTCGCTGTATTCAATGTTGGATTGTGTAGCGAACTTCTTTCGTAAGTTGCAACACACAGACGTTTTCTTGCACACACATATATACGTATGCACGCGCATCCACACATCTATCCGTCTGTCTTTTTATTATCTTTTTATTTTTATTATCTTAAGATGGACTCTGTATAAGACTATGATAGCTAAAATTAAAAATTTTTTTTAATGGTGTTTTGTTATTATTCTAAAGCCGGTTATTTGCTTGTTTTTGGCTATTGCGCTTATGTAAATGGTAGAAACTCCAATTTAAAATACTTATTAGTATTTATGGGGTGGTATTAATTTTGCTGGGGGTGGGAATGAAGTATAATTGTGGACTGATGCGTTAATGGTAATTGTGGTATGGTAGTAATTGTGGCGTAATGCGATAATGGTAATTGTGATGCGGTAGTAATGGTAGGGGTAGCGGGTGGGCGATAACAATTGCAGCAGTAAATAGTTATGGTAAAATGGTAGAAATGATTGTAGTAATGGTGGTGGAATGGTAATAACAATTATAATCATTATGATCTAGAAAATAATTGATGGTGTTATGGTATCAGTGGTTTCTCTTTTCGTGTTCGAAGAGTCAATAGTGATTTCTCTTTTCGTGTTCATAGGGTCATTGGTGTTTTTTTATCCGTTTGGTATAAATTGTAATAATATGTATTTGTTTTCATGTATGCATTTAGAAATTATTTCTGATCTTATGTTTAGCAATTTCTTTTGATGGGCATGAGAAATTATTGCTACTTTTTCGTGTAGGCAAAGTAGACATTTCATTGTAATGTTGTTGTATGCAGGAGCGTTTTTCAATATTTCCCAGCTAATTCTTAGTGTAATATTTCTCTCTTTTAGATGCCATATGTATGTGGATAGTGTAGTGCGGTTTGAGTATTTTCTGTTGGAGAATGAAAGGTCATGGTTGTGTTTTCTTTTTTGAATTGTCCCTCAGTAGCACCGATGTAGTACATTGTGCTGTTGTTTGCACTTACCTTGGCTTTATATATTCATTTGTTGGCAGCTTCCTTGGAGTGGACATGTTGTTTTATATCTGCAGTTGCATTGAGGTTCCGTGGTTGCGTTATTGCAGGTTGTTACTTATTCACTTAAAAAGTTTTTTTAAACTTTTAAAATATTGCTTGTTTAAAAATGCTGAAATATAAATAATTACTCTACAAACATCTGGACGAAACAGCAAAGCGGGATTTCTTTGTGTCTGGTTTTAACTTAAAAATATTTTAATTAAAAAATTGTCTGTTTGAAGAAAGTTAAAATAAAAATAATTATTGTATAAAGAACTCGTATTTTTAAATCTTATTCCCTTAAATCAGATTAACTTAAATTATTACGTGACGGACGGGCTCACCACGCAAGCACGCATGCAACCACAGACTTTTGGTGTATATATATATATATATGTTTGTGCGTGTGTGAGTTTGTTTGGGGGCACGCACGTGTTTGTGTACGTACGTATATAATATATATTTAGGCAGCAATTATTCACTCAAACATGTTTTATTGAAAACAGCCGACAAATTCTGTCTGTTTAATTTTTTCATTACATTTTTTCTAGTTTGCGTATAAGATGACGCACATCCGGATCAAATTTATGAGGAAACTGTCTAAAGTTCATAATGTTTTTGTTCGATTATTTTTCACTATCAGTAGTCATTATCTGGAGCGTTAATGTTATCAGGGGAAGTGGATGTTATCGGGCGGGGTCGATGTGCACAAAAGACAGAACAACCTTTGAACGTCGCTCTCTGCTTCCGAGTCGTTGTCTTTCTTTTCATCCTATTCTCCTTCTTCCCTATTCTCTCTCCCTCGTCACCCGTCCCTCATCGCTTCATCCATTCTCTTTTTCTTTACCACATTCTATCTTTCACCATTGCTCTTCCTCAAGATCCGTCTCTCTCTGATTCTGTCTATCACTCTTTCTTTCTTTTCTCCCCACTCTCTCTCTCCTTCCATTCTCTCCTTCTCTCATTCGCCTCTCTCTGCTTTCGTCTTGCACCCTTTATTTTCAATTCTCTTTCTCTTTCCTGTCTTCGTCACCACACCTCTCTTCCAGTTTCTGCGTCTCTCACTGCCATTCTCTTTCCCAACTCTCTCCCCTCGACCGTCTTTTTCCTCCTCCATAGTCTCTCTTCGTTTATGTCTGTCTCTTTTTCTTTTTTTATCCTACTCTCTCTCCTCCCATCCTCTCCACCTCTCACTTTCTATTTTTCTCCCACTCTCTTTATCTTTACCCCATTCTCTCTCTTCTGTGTTCGTCACCACATGTCTCTCTGTCTGTCTGTCTGTCTGTCTGTCTGTCTCACTTCACCTCAGTGGCGAAAAAAAATTATATTTGCTTCATCTTGGCCTTCAAACAAAAACATCGGAAAATTTGAACAGTTTTCCCATAAATTTAATCCGGAGAGGCGACATCTTATATGCAAACTTCAAACTGAAAAAAACAACAAAAAAAAAACAAAACAAAACAAAAAACAAAAGCATCATAAAAGATTAACAGACAGATCTTATCGGCCGATTTCAAATTTCAATAAAACATGTCTGAACACACAGACGCACACACACAAACACACACAATTTTCCCAATGGTGTTCACCCTGTACAAGGCCAAAGAGCCACTCGTGGTAGAGGGTTATAATATATTATAAACCTCTACCACGAGTGGCTCTTTGGCAAAGTTTATGGGGATATGTTGGGAAGATAATGGCTAAGCCGAAACTTGAACAGCTGAAGATTGTAGCATCCTCGGTTCCACAAACCAGCGGTTCGGGGAAAGATGCCGCTCGAGTGGAACTTACATCTCACCAAAGGGAATGAAGGTGCTTCGCTACAATGTGCGTGATATGACAGGTCTTAGCTGGGAAGATCAGAACTCGTGGAACTAACGAATGTAATTCGTCTGAACACCTTCCATGGAAATAGCGATAGAGCATCGAAAGGCTTGCGACGACTCTGTGAGAACAAGGGTTATAGAGTGGAAAATAATTCATCGCCTACAAGAATGCGGAAACGCTTTTGGACTCTATCAAAGCAGGAGGGTGAAGGCAGCGCAGATCCTCGCCCATATATGATAGCAGTGCTCCATTTTCGGCCTGATCTGATTTTGTAAAGGTAGAGTATCGTAGGAGGAGTCAGGTGCTTACCGATGCAGTACAGAGAACCAATCATACGATTGAATAAAGAGTAATGAAGATAAGCAAGGTAATTAAATAGCGGAACATCTCAAATTTATAAAGATTATGTTTTTGTTCCCTATTTAATCATTCTGCCAGATATAATTCAGATTTTCAACTCTCTCTTTTTTGTCTCTCTTTCTCAAAATATACATAATCACATAATATCTCTTTCTCGCTCTCTCTCTCCATATATATATATATATATATATATATATATATATATATATATATATAATATTAGTGGTAAATATACACATATACATATGCAATCATATAGCTAAAATATATATAAATATACATACACACATACATACATACATACATATATATATATGTATAAAAAATAATTCCGAGAGGATAGAATCCAGGTAGAACTCAATGTCCAGGACAGAGTAAGGATATAATAAAAAGGCTTAAACACTAATATTCCATGGTCATAATTTATTCCATTGGAATCGTAAATACGATCCAATTCATCAGAACTACAAATTATATATATATATATATATATATATATATATATATATATATATATATATATATATATATATAAATATAAAAATATAAAAGAAATTGATTGTCTATTATGTCTGACCATGAACGGTTCTAATGTTCCAATGTTTGTTTTAATTTCTGGTGAAAATAAAGACAAGAATTGTCCAACATTTGAATATATTTTTATTAAGTTGGTCCTAAGCTTTCGGCACATATGAGCCATCCTCAGAGTGGGTTATACAAACATGAAACAAAGATATCCACCGTCAAAAATAATATTTTGTTATTTTGACAAAGAAAATTGCTATGCGACGATAACGGTCGCAGAATAGCAGACGCAGATCGTAAATTCTAAATGCGGTTCTGTGACGTCATACCACGCGATAGACCGAAGTATTACAACAGAACCAATGTCTAGATTCAATGTAATGTCTTGTGACTAGTTTGAAATATAATTTTGTTGAGTGTGGGTTGCTTCATTTTAATATAGACGGCTTCCAATATCTGAAGGTTATATATATATATATATATATATATATATATATATATATATATAAGGTGTAGGTCGGCTGCAATAACTCTTTCAACCATGTTTGGTTAAATAATATGGACAAGTTATAAATTTTTAATAAATTTTAAAAGATTTTCCCATTAGTTGTTTTACGTTATTGGGAAAGTTCATACTTATTTTTTACTTTATATTACTTTTTCCGAGTACTTTCGGATGTTGATACATTCATTTTCAACGGGAATTTTTTCTCGTCCTTCAATAACAACATCCAAAAACTTGTCCGGGATTATGAAAGGATTTATCTGAAAATAAGAAGACAAAAAGACAAAAATATTCCAACATTTGGATATTTTTTATTATGTCGTTACTCGCATAGCAAACTTCTATGTAAGCATAACAGGATGTCATCTTTGGTGGTGAACATCTATGTTGTAATGTCCATTTAACTACTCTGATGATGGCTCATGTGAGCCGAAATGTTATATCGAGGAAGAGCATAATAAAAAAATATCAAATATTGGGTAGCCACTATACGAAGATTAGGATGGCTCATGATCAAACATAATATACATTCGTTGTCCGTTATATTTATGTATACATATATAGTAATAGAATTTGGGTGATTTAGGCAAATCCTTATAGTAATTCATCTAGTCTAGAAGACTCCTCAACAGTAGGCAAAAAGCACTGTACGACCGTTTCGTCCTATTTTGGGGACTCATCAGCAGTGCGTAACCACTACCGAAATTCTGTACCGTTTTGATACAACGCAAGCGTATTATCAACTGTACCAACAGGCCTCGGCGACGAAGTAGAAACTGAATAGATTTAATATAGCGCCGCTACTGGTGGTGATACTCATCCAAGTATTCATAACCGAACAGACTGTGCCCCAAGAGCTACGACTTACCTTTTCCCCGGATCGCTCCATCGCAGAGCATGAGCTGGATCAAGCAAGGATATACAAGTAATAAAATTTTGGCGATTAAGGCAAATAATTATAGTAATTCATCGAGTCTAGGAGAATCCTCAACAGGTACGGATTCGAATCTGGGTAGTGGAGGCGCACTGCTGATGAGTCCCAAAATAGGACGAAACGACCGTCAGGTGCTTTCTGCATTCTGTTGAGGATTCTTCTAGATGAATTACTATAATGATACTATAATATATTAGATGAATTACTATAATGATATATATATATATATATTGTTATGGGATCTTACCCATAATAATAATAATGGACTATTCCATACTTAATAAATACTGCGACTCAGGAGTAGGAAAGTCGAGTCAGTAGTTCAAGTCGAGTCAAGAGTCGAGTCAAAGGCAGTCCGAAACAGAGTCGCGTTCAGACAATTACTGCAAGACATTGGAATAGTGATACTGGTCGAGACTACATTGTTCTCTCTACTAAACCTGATTGTTCATACTAACACTTCTACTTCTCTATATATATTCCTGTTTGTAGTATATCTGTGTTATTCCATACCTGTGTTCGAGTTCTTCTTTATTGGTTCTACCTTGGACTATCACCGTGGTACAAGGAACCGGACCATAACATATATATATATATATATATATATATATACACAATTACACAATTACTTGTTTGTATACTTTTGTGTATTAACACGATTCTTCTTTTGTGAAACTTTTGCCTCATTACTTTTCCGTTGCCTATTTAATTGGCATTATTTTGCCCTGTTCTTTTCTTTCTTTTGTTATTGTATATTGCAAATTTTGTCAATTCTTTTCGTTGAAATTTTTTGCCAGTTACATTTAATCTTACTTAATAACTCTATAAACACCTCACAGCCTGAAGATTACATTCAAAAAGAAAACAGACAGTTCCCGATCACTTAATAATACAAAATCCTTATTGTCTAAATACAATTTATTGTCAACCCTATTAAAATATATATGTTGTTGGTATAGTTATCAATCCCCTTGCAGGAACCTAAATTCATTTACATACAACTAAAGAGTTTCGTCATAAATAAACTCCCATTCTGTCCTATCTCGCTTTAGAGAGATATCTCACGCCCCCCCCTGTCCACAACCCAGGCTCCTTATCTAAACGAGGCGTCCTTCTGAGTAGGCCTGTATCTTCTCACCGACTGCTATCTAAATTAAATTCAAAACCATTGATTCCGAGACAGTCAGTTTAGGGCAGAAGAAGAATTGGCATAAGGTTGTGCCGGTTTGAAATAGACTATACCCACATGAAATAATTTTAGATTTTTTGCTGTATAATATATATGCTCTGTTATAATAAATATATTGAGCTCTCTCTGTGGATCAGTTTTAATATCTGATATTACTAGGATCCACCTGATTTTATACCAACGGATCTATTACCTGTGCTTAAAATTGTACAATTAGATTAAGCTTGGAACCGTTGTGTCATAGAATTGATTAAAGATATCTTACTGGAATTTTCCAAGGTTTTTACAACACTATTGGACTCTACTTTGAACAATAAGAATGTATTTAGCTCTAAGTTGAAATGATGATCCCTCTTGCTGTTGTGACCTCCTGATTCGGTATTCCTTTTTTAAAACTTATTCACTATTGTCTTGATGGTTCTTAAATGGACTTTGAAGATGGAAACCGGAGTATGAATGTTGGTACCATTACCGAAGGCTTGGATGAGCTTTTTACTCTCACCATTGTTAATTTGGGGAGACAATGAGCCTGACACAAAACGATTTTAACCTGTAGCATCATGCATGATATAAAATTATGTACTGCTGGCCCTGGCTATGCCGTTGACGAAACTATATATCCATTTGCTGTCGTCAAAAATTTACAACTGTATTTAAAATAAACATCGCGTATTACTCGAGTATATATATATATATATATATATATATATAGGGAGAGAGAGAGAGAGAGAGAGTGAGAGAGAGTGAGAGTATGTGTGCGTCATTACTAAATATAAACGTTATATTTTATTGGAAACACGTATTTGTAGCAGACATCTTAGGTTTTAAACAGAAAAAATTACGTCTACCCGCGTGTTTTACTTACAGTATTTAATAAAGTAAATGCGACAGGGTTCGATCCTGCTTTTCTTTACGTAGAGGAAACCACTGTATATCCCAGAGCGCTTTTACA